CTCATCTGCAAGTGTCTCAATGCCTTCAGAAACAGACCAGTTCCTGAAAGAGAACCAAGTCAAGTAAATCTTCAGTGTAATTTTCTAGCACGTCACATGTTTTAGTGGATAAATGAAGTCACATATACAAGTCCATTTATAGATGAAGTGCCTTATGTGTTCTCTCTTTCATACTTTTCTTTACTAAGGTACTGTCTTGGACACTTAAGATTTTAATTGAAAACGTCCAGATTGATCTTTTAAGAGCCAGGTTGCTTTGGGGCTTGAACTCTGTTGACCCCAGCTAACACCATGTGTTAGGAGAAAGGAGGGGGACAGACAAGAGGGTCTATACAGGGGAGTCACTGGAAGACGGGAGAGGGGTTGGGCTGCCCTAGCATTGATTACAGCAGGGGAAAGAGGAAAACAGAGTAGGTCTTAACGGCTAAAGATGTGTTTTTGCATTTTGACATACAGCCCTGGGGAGCAGCCAGGCCCCAGGTGGGGACAGATGTGCAGGAGAAAGTTTGAGGGGGCTTCACACACCACCACACACCTCCCATCCATCTCCCTCCCATGCTATTGGTTTTACACTTTGCACCATCTCATCTGTGCAACTCTGCAGGGTCCCTCATGAAGGCTGTGTGAAAGGGAGAGGGATATGGGGAAAAGGTGTCCCAAGCAAGACCTATGAAACACCTTGTGAGACTTCTTCAATGCATTAACTCTCTTCACTCTGAATCACAGTTCTTAAGACAGTGGTGTTTTATCAGCTTAGATATTTAACACCTTAGATAAATATCACCTTAGGTGGTATTTAACAGCTTAAGTGCACATCTGGACAGAGGTAACACTTAGTCTTTGACTGTGGTCTCCAGGACAACCTTGTCGCTGTGAAGCCAATTCCAGCTGTGGACCAGGCAGACTTTGGTGTAACAGAAAGAAGTATCTAGAGGAGTACTAAGGATACCATTTATTTTCAAAATCACTAAAAAACCCAAACGAAACAGCTTATGGCGATACAGATTTACATAACAGAGACAATAAATTGAAAAATTTACAATCTATTTCATGTTATTGCACTCACTTTTTTTTAAAATATACAAGGCATAATAAACAGTTTTCATTAAAAGAAGTTTTATTATATAAATAAAGGTGTAAATATACAATATTATACAATAAGTGTCTTGGCCTAACACACAAAACCTATCTAGAGTGGGATCCCAATTTCTCACATGATCTAGTCTACCCCTCATTAATATTTCCACATACACATTAACATACCCTAAATGTAAAAGCAGGTAAAAATTCCCATCTGGGAATATTTCCTTTAGATTTTAACAAGAACCACTGCAGAACATTAACCAGGGTTAATTTTAAGCGAGGATCATTATAAAATATTAATCACTCTACAGTTTATTAATACTTACCTGCCCTCTTTTTTTTTTTTATTAATAAGAAAAAACATCAGATGTTGCTCTCTCACTAATTTAGGCCTAATCTCACAGTTTTTAATATAGATGAAATCCCCACAGAAGCTGGAAAGAACTTCCAGGTACAAAAGGCTGAAAATATGCAATGGCAGTATCGCACCAGAGCCCATTCTCATATCCAGGATGTGAACCCTGAGCTGCCCCAGGTCGAGAAGTGGCAAAGCCTTCCACCAAGCCTTCTCCATGTGGGAGCAAATTCACCTTATCTGGAATGCCTTCAAGTCCCTGGTCGTGGATGAAGTCTGTGATTCCATCTTTATTTTTTGGTCTTCCAAGAGGCAGCTGCAAGACTCTATAGAGTCCTAGAGCTTGGCAAACCCTCCAGCATGGCAGGAATCACTGCGGGGACGGATATGCAACCAGCAAGGCCAAAAATGCTCATGAACCCACTGAATACTGATGAACTAATGCAACACCCTCTGCCATTTTGGTGCAACCAAGCTCTCAGAAAAATAACATTTACTTAGCCAGGTGTGTAACCTAAGGTTTACTACATCGTTTTAGTCTGTCCATTCTGTTTGTAAAGAAAGCAGACCCATATTGCATAAATCCTGGGGCTTTTATGAGGAATGTCACCCCAATAGAGATGTCAGGAAATGCTACTGTAATCATATCAACACTGGTAGCATCAGTAAAGATGTTCCTTGTTCTTTCACAAAAGAAAAAAAAATATTTATTTAGGAACAGAAACAAATCAGGGTTAAATACTTTTTTTTTTTTTTCTTGCTGTAATGTTAGTAGAGAAATGTATCATTATAGCCATAGTAACTATCAGACTTAAAACATTAAACCTATCATTTAAATTATAGCCACTACTGAGTCACACACAAAAATCCCCATCTGCTGTTACTCAGCCAACACATATCTACGTGCATGTAAAATAAAATACTTAACAGTACTTACTGAAAAATTAAAACCTTCTAAATCACTCACAATGAACAGTACCTGCAAATAAGCTTCTGAAAATATTTACCACCTATCATCTCAAGACACCTCAAATTAAGTTTAATTTACAAAATTAAGACTTTACCTTTGAGCTCACACTAGTTTAGGAGTGAGGGAGACATAAGACTCCCAGCACTGGAACCTCAAACTTCTAAACAGTAGACTGAAAAAAAATGTCACTCCTAAAACACGACTGTGATTTACCACATTTAAGTAGCAAAAAATCAGTACTGCACTTGTACGTATTATACATATATAGGTATGTATTCACTATGCTGCATTAAACTCCACATGCATTTTATGTATCTATTATACACGCTATTACAATCGGATTTTGGTCATTCCTGAACAAGGTCTTGCTGTTTAACTGTAATTGCCTGTGTCTTCTCCCTGTTTTTCAGCAAATAGGCAGGGGTAACTTCTTTTATCCCAGCACAGGTCTGCAACCTCAGTGTGGTTCTCTGATCCCAAGTGCTGCATTCTCCTGAAGCCTCTCCCACCACAGAGGTGACAGGAGGCAAGGACTGGTCCTGACAGCTTTGGGGCCACAGGGGACCCAACTCCACAGTCAATTCACGGGACTGAACGTAAATCAGTTTCCACAGAAATCCTGCAGGCCAAGCAGTTGTAGGACTAGGCACAGCACTGCCTTTTGTGTAAACAAAAATTTGCATCTCTCCTTGGATTTCACATGCTAATATGTCACTGAAAAAGAATGAAATCTGTTCATTTTTTTGGCCAACACTGAACAGCTTTTATGCTTTCCTCGTCTTGGGCTGCCTTGTAGAACTGAATTTTCCTCTGCACAACCTGCAGTCTAATGAAGCTGTCACTGAAATGAACCAAAGCGAGTGCTCCACTAACCTGGAAGAGATTGTGCCAAGCGCTGTTGAATAAATGTAAATAAATTGAACTATAGTACAATCTTGGGGCACGGCCAAGTGACAAGCCCAGATCTTTTTTTAATAGCTACATAGTGTCTTGAGTCACTATAAACGTAGGCAGCACTTCAGATTTGAACGAGGTCCTGGATGAGAGCTCTTCACTCTGGGCATGTTGGCTGCGAGCAGTCCCCGGCCTAATGCAACAAACAACCTGAGCACTCTGGAACAAACAACTTGTTGTCAGCTGATAAGGACACTGGCCCATTTCTTCCGGTATCTCTTTTATGTTGTTGGGCTATTCCAGAGAAATAACTAAGTCTAATCTCTTGCACCCATACACTCTCCTTCCAACACAGCAGACTATAAATAACACTCAGGAACAGCATGGCCCACTACTGATACCTCTACTGGGAGCAGAGGTGAGAAAATCCAAACGAAGTGCCCACAGCATTGCAGCTCTTTCAGTTTTAATGTACTTAACATCATGATTTGTCCCATCTACACAGTTTTCAGTTTCACCATCCAGAAAACCCTCAGCATCAACACCTTCCTGACACAGCCGGGTGCACCTGTATCTTACACACACACCCCCACCCACTCTCACCAAGTAAAAATAAATACTGGACAGGAGAACACAAACATGAGTGATTAAAAGCCAGCACAAATACAGCCAGTTCAAATTTAATCTTTTATAAATCTCCATCCTTAGACCACCATTTTCCACCTTGAGTGTTTCAAGTTGGACAGCCTTAAACCTCTTGCAGCGAAATAAAAGCAGCCTGGCTTTCAGACATATGCAGTGATCACTGAAGTCTATGAGAGCTGCAAGTGCTCAGCACCTGAAATTATCCCCTTTTAAAAAATATACATATTTTAAAGGTGCCTAACATTAGAAGTCTAAATTCGAAAATCCAGACTTCGATTTTTATCGCTCCCATTTTAATTACAACTAACAACTCAGTCTACATCTTGGTGGACAATCACCTATTAGTTGGACCTTATTTTCTTGTTCACAGATTTCTACCACATTAATGTCAACTGCTTTCAGATACATGCTGCATCTAAGAGCAGACTCAGTAGTGGTAGATGCTGAGTTAGTTCATCAGTTTTAAGAGGATTTTTCAGCTTCCAATAAAATGCTCTTGTTTTGGGCATAAAAGTTGTGCAAAATTACTCTTTTGTCATGCATTTTTAGCAAAACTGTACTTAGAAGAATAAAGTGAGATTGTTCCAGACATTCTCTTATTACAACAAAAAAGGACCAGACCTTTAGTAAGTGTCCTGAAGTCTTATTACAGCTAAGTGATATAGTACAGTCTAAATACCCATCCTTGTCAACAGGATGGCAATCAACAAGTTACACTCCTGATGCTATGCAGATACTAAAAATATCAGGAACAGGCACAGTGTTATTTATCTCAGTCAAAATACTTTAAATCAAACCCAGGAGAGGTCTTGAAGTTCCATTAAAATTGCCACAAAATACAAAAGTGTCTCTAACATTTGGCTTCCTTCATCCCCAATAATTAGGTGAGATTTTATCATGTTCACCACATGCTTGCTCAGTGGTTCTCCAAGGCCCTTAGCACCTCTCTGTAGAGCATTTTAAGACACTTCTGTATGGCTTTAGAAACAAGACAGTTTCTAGCCAGTTTTAAATGTTTTGTCTTAACAAGTGTGCGTAGGTGTAGTGATTCCATCATAACGAAGTTCTGTGTTTTCTGATTATTAACTGAACAGGGCCCTCTGGCACGGACTTAATTATGTTCCAGGCATCATAATGCATGAGGCCAAGTAATGATTTTCCACTAACAGCAAGAATTTCATCTCCAGTTTCTATGTTTCCAGATTGCTCCGCAGCACCACCTAGGAGCAAAATGGGAAAAAGTCAGTGTTTAAAAAACCACCACACAAACCCAGTAAACCCACAAAGATTTGCTTTCCACTGTGACAAACTGCAAATAAACCATTTTTCCAACCACGGCAATTTACAGTACAATCACTTACATTCAGCTTAGCTCTAGCAATTTACCCCATGCTGCATCTCACAGAAAACTGTATTTTAACCAAGACAAATCCTTGTTATTAAAAATGTCTGCTTTTGAAGGAAGCCACAGGAGTGCATGAAACATGCCTCATGTTATTTCTGTAGCTGTAAGAAAACCTGGTTGAGAAAGTGAACGTACAGGCTGTATGTGGCATGGACAAACAGAATTTTAACAGGGATTTTACATGCAGATAAACCGGTAGGTCGTAAAACCCAGATAACAGGGGTGAACAAAACAAACGTGGGTAGTAAACTTAAGACAAACACATTAGACACAGAAACAGCTCCCGGGGAGGGGCACACCCCTCACTGCTGATGGAAGTTATGTTTTCTGTAACGATAATTTAATTGACAACATCAGTCATCACCGGGAGGAGAAAAGGACTGTATGTATCTAAGAATACAAATTAATGAACTAAAAAAATTAAGTATGTCCTTTACTCTCAAAGTCACTTTCTAAAGAGGGATACAAACACACTCAGAGGAATTGATAAGCCATTCAGAAAACACAAGTTTGATTTTCTTCCTCAATGAGAGAATATACAAATGCAAAGTAATCCTGTAAAAATGCTGTGCAACCACAGCTTCACTGAGAGTTTAATCTTATTTAGGAAGTGCTGTATTTTTCACTAAACTGAATAAAATCATAGCACAGTTCTGGGACTGGTTACTTTTCTATAAATGATTTATATAGGCTTAACTACCTGATGACAAAAAAAAGCATCCAAGAGTGCCAGTTTTTGAATATGAACAACACATACTCTTGGCAAAAGCTAATAGTGATGGCTTACAAGAAAATAACGAAGACAAAAAAAAACCTGTAAAATGGGTATAATGCAGGATGGTGCTTTGGAACCACACTGATTATGTGTATTGTGCATCTCTTAGAAAAGAGGATCAGATAAAGCATGAACTTCTCAAACCTTTATATATGATATTGTTGCTGTGGTTTAGTGTCTAAAATAGTTGACAAGCTCAGGAAGGAACTGCATCATATTTAGTAAATCAGATTGTTCCACTGACATTTATTAGCAGATTCAATTCCTAGCCATTCCCAGGAGTAGTTTTTTTAATGATCATTTTGGCAAGTAAGTGGTAAAAAACAAGGGCCACAAAAGCAACCTTTGCTTCAAAAAATCCTTGACTCCAAGAATTAAAATGTCTGTACAATGCACCAATGGAAAACCGAGATAATATCCACTGCATTTGCATGCTTGTAGTACCTTTAAATATCCTTTTTACAAGTAAGGGTCTGTCTCCAGCAATGGAAGCTTTTCCACCATCTAGACTGAATCCCAAACCAGCAGAGGTTTTCAATAATTCAACGCAGATGACATCATTCATATCCAGGTTTGGATCTGTGACAGAATACACACAGCATCTTGTTATACAGCTAGCAGTAAACTGCAAGCTTTGTTTGGTTGGTTTTGTTTTTGCTGCAATGACAATGCAATTCAGAGCTCAGTTCATATTCAAACTAGAACATATTGTCACCCTGTTTCTCAGAAATCAATGTGTATTATTGCAGCTGTGAAGGGGAGACAGAGCAAAATGCATTTACACACACAAACATTTTCATTTTGCATGTCCAAAGAAAATCTGACAAAGCATATTTCTTTTTTCAAAACTAAAGCTCAGCAAATTTAGCAAAAACTCTGAACATCAAAAAAAATAATGAAAAATTATGAAAAAGGTGTGTGGAGAGAATTTATTTTTCTTCTACTTGCTCCCACTTGCTTATTCAATGAGCCACATCTTTTCTAATAGCAGTAATGAATGAAATGTTACATTAACCAAACATGTTTCATCCTCTTAAGGAAAAGCCTGTAATTGCTCCCTGGTGCAAATAATTGTTTTGGTCTCATATCTATAGAAATAACCACACTTGTAGATGCATCTCACCTCCTATATATCAGATATTTTTTGAACAAAGCATCGCTGTAGCTGACATAAAATATTACTTTGCTTAGAAGGAAAGAAATGTACAATTTTGGAGAAGAGGACCCACTTATCCCTGGGTGAATGTAAAAATTATGCAGTCTGCATCATCACAAGTTACTGCTACCGTTATCTTGATCAATGGTAAACGTTATCTAGAACATCTGAAGATGTGCTTTGTCTTCAGGATGGAAATACACTCTCAATAATCCAATACTTTGCTTTGCTTTGTAAGATAACGTTGCCCCCTAGTGCCTGTACCCAGTAGATATTCTGCATTTGTTAATGTGCAGGACACGGGGAACTTACGGTATGAAGGGATTCTGAATTACAAATATTGTATCTATGGGAGCAGCTCGAAAAAGACTGATCAGTTCATTTACAGAGTGCATTTCTTTTAAGCTGTACTATAAAACATAATGTGAAAACATAAAACAATAAAAAGCGCTACACAAAACCACCTCCAACAAAACAGTAATGATTGTGGTTAACAGGTTAAGAATTCGCGAGCGACAGCTCCATGTCCTAGTTTTGGGGCGATCAAAGCTGAGTGGCTGGCAGGGAAAGATGCATCACCAAATCTCTCAACAATAAGCTGTAACTACTGCCCACTGCCCCCCAGGGATACTGCAGCAGTGCAGGACTGATTCAGGTCATCCTCCCCTCCTGCAGGAGGGGCATATAGAGAGGTAATAAATGGCTTTGTGTCTTAATTCTTAGAAAAAATAATAATTGAGACATCTACTTGCCACACACAAAGGGCAGCCTTCACACTGAAATGCTGTCTTGTTCCTGAACAGGAACGTACCATTGCACTGATCCATTTCCACTTAAACCATTTATCCCTAGTTTCCAATGGGATAGATGACTTGGATTTGGCTTAGCTCCATTTACTTTAGTATCAAAATATTTTTTCTATGTTTTTAATAGAAACAGTGTGAAATCTGCTAATACAAGGAGCAAGTTAAGTCCCTATGTATAACATGCAGGGTTTGGGGTTTTCTTTGAGGTTGCTTTTTTGCTTTTTTTTTTCCCCTCCTTTTTTGGTTGTTTACTTGCTTGCACTGACTACTGTTTCTACTTGAAAGGAGTTTGTCCCAGATTGAAAGAATATGTGGAATCACTAATTTTAGTAAAAATGTAATTAGTCCCTAACTGTCCTTCTAAGTTTTTGCCTAGTTATGATTTAAAAAAAACCAAAAAACAAACCAAACACAACCCCAGACCAAAATAACCCAAGCAAACAAAAAAACCCAACACAAAACCAAAACAAAATGAAAACCAAGCTGCATTTAGGTTCCAAAAAGAACAAATAAAATTTAAAGGTAATTTAATTTGCTCCCTTCAATCACATAAGGCACAGATGCTTTTAATTTAAAACACATGGACATTTTCCCCTTCAGTCTGCTCTGCAAGGGAATCCTTCCAACTGTTCTTGGACAAAGATCATACCTGTTCCTATTTCCATGGAAACATCTTTTCCAGACCCCACACATTTTCTGCCAGTAGCTGATATCTCAAGTCTGGAGGAATTGTTTGCTTTGTCTTTTTCCTTCTGGATGACAACGACCGCATCTTTGTACAGTCTTGTGTGATGAAGAGCATTCAGGACATCCCCATGGACTGAGCTCACAAGAGACCTGCCATTGATTGACAGCACAAGATCTCCTCGATGAATAGTCCCTTCTCGAGATGCCACTCCCCTTGAAAACACTCTGTGAACCTAGAAGAAAGATTTTTAACTTAATGATGCCTTAATCTCATGACCACACATAGTCAACAAAGTCCCCATCTAAGTTTACAATCAATGCCCACTGCCTGGATATCAAGCACACAACATTTGCTCCAGCAAACACCCTCAAATACTGTGGCCTAAGCAACTAGACAAGAACTGCAGTGAGGGAGTGGGGGATGGATAAAGCAGAGGAAAAGATGCCATTATTGCATGGTCATCTCTATGCCTAAGACAACCAAAATGAGCTGGAGAATGTAATAACACAGATCACTTGTGCTTTACTGAACTTCCTGAAGGTCTTCAATTAACGTAACTCCAAGCAACACAAAGGTTAAATCAACATCCGTGCTAGAGTGAACACTACAAACAACACTGCAGTGCATTAGACCCAGTCCCCATATTCCCCCTGTCTGGGACTTGTATCCTGGGCTGTTTGCAAATGCAGACTTCGAAGCAGTGCACAGCATCTGTGTAAAGGTTCTGACTTACTGCAGCTGTACAATTATGTTATTATTTCCCTCAATTTGTCTGATGAAATACCATGCAAACAGATGCAAAGAGATAATTTAGTGGCTTGAAATGCATTTTCTCCAGAGAAAAATTTCAGCAAGTGCAGCCGAGCCTTAGATGCTTGCTATTTACAAAAGGGAACTGACTAAGAGAGTCAAGACCTGGTCCTCAAAGACTTGCCTATCAGACACTGTAATTTTAGCAGCCAGAATCTTGTTTTCCATACACACAGTTCTAGGTCTGCTGGACAAAAGGTTCAAAGCAGCAAATCTGTGGACAAAGTTCTGCATGGCATTTTCTCTAGGAATTTATCCTAATACCCAGACCCACAGCAAGGAATGAGAAGCCTCTTGTCTCCTGTTCCATGTCCCTGCAGGGCCATGCTGAGATGAGCACCTGCCACAAGCCTACAGATGCAAGCAGATAAGATACCCAGCTAGTCTAAGCTGCAGTAACAGCCTCAATGATAGCTGTAGACACCCAAATGCAAGAGGAAAGTGGAATACAGGGGTCACGTCTAAAACATCAGCTGTCTTCCCTCACATGGTCAGCTCCTCAGTACCTTGAAGCTCACTTGGCATTTCTCTTTGTGCATCCAAGCGTGGTGCACCCAAGCTGAACAGTTCATCTAAGCAGCTCAGCACCCAATGCCAACCCTAAATCCAGCTGGAACCCAGAATTCCAGAAGGTCAAGGACATTAAAATGTTCCCCATCTGAGAAACATGCTTTACACATGCTGAATAAATAGGATGTGGAAAGAGCAACAGCTGATACTCTTCTGGTCTCATGACTAGTGGCATTTAGGAGAAAGAATTCATCAGCTACTGAGCTTGAGAAAGCTCAAGATCATATTTTTTAGTAGTGTTCCAGTCTTGGGGTGAAGAATTCTCTGGAGTGGGACACTGTTTAGTCTTCATGCTCACAGCTGGAACTGCAAGTGTTTGGGCCAGAGAGAGGGAACACAACCTTTGCAATGAGAGAAGTAGAGTCTGTTACTTAGACTGTGATCATATTTTAACTCAATGGCTGCTTAATGTAAAATACATTTACTTATATTGGTATGGTCTAAGAGCAAAAACCAGAGGATTCCTGCTAAGGGCTGCTGCAGGCCCCAAAGACTGAGGAACTATCCTTCTTCTAATTTTAGCCCTTAATAGACTCTCAGGGAAAGATTTAAATGCACATCTTGTGTAAAGAAAGTGGGACAGTGCAACTGCACTCAGAATTCTATTTACATGCACAGGATTTAGATCTAGCTGATCCCATCCAGTAGCAGAATTTTGAAGACTGAAGACATAATTGGCATCCATCTCCAATAATAAAAATTACACTTCCCAGACATTCTGTAATTTCAGTAGCAGATGGTATGCAGCCACCTCTGAGAGACACTGTTTTATGACTGTGAGTGACTTGCAGCAAGTCTTGATAAACGAGCACTTGATCTAATCACCAGCCTGCTTTAAAGCAAGCTTTGCAAAAAAATGACTTGCAGCCATCACTTACTGTGACTGATTTCTGCTCCAGATCTGTTCCTCCAGCAACACTAAATCCCAGGCCAGCTCCTTCTTCTTTGTGCAAGACTACAAAGTATGTGTCTTCTTTGCTCTAAAAGAAAAATGGAGGGGAAGGAGAAGAAAAACAAAACCAAAGATCAAGACCAAGTTCCTGCACAAATCACAAACTCCCAGTACCCTCAGATTATGGCAGGTGAAAAAAGCAACTCAAGGAATTGGAAGCTGAGACATTGAATGCATTTCTGTTTGTGCTACTGATGAGTAGCAGCAATATAGAAGAACTCAGGTGACAGAAAAGGTTCAAGGTTCAGTTCTAGGCTAGAAAACAAAATCGAAATTAAGATTGTGGAAGAGTACTAAAACTCAGGCAGTTGAATTTTCAAATTTACTTTGCTTGACATTTTGCAGTCAAAACTCAATAGTTCCCATATAGCTTTCTGGACCAAGCACTGCACTTTCCAGTGAATTACTATTGTTTCTGTTTTTCCATTTCTCCTTCCTCTTGAAAGACAGTTAACAAAGATAATAGCATCAGAGAATTGTTTTGGTTGGAAAAGACCTTTAAGGCCACCAAATCCAACCATTAACCTAGTCCTGCCAAGTCCACTGCTACACCACGTTTGTATGCACCCCATTCACACGTGATGAAATGCAGGGCAGTGTTGCAAGTTTCCCACAGGAAGCTGCATCTTCTCAGTAGTGCTGGACACTCTTGCAAGGGGCAGTGGCTACAAAATGAACCTTGGGAAGGTCAGACAGGACAGAAGGAAAAACTGTTATACTTAGGAAATAAATGCAAAGAGCCTTTTAGTGATCCAAATGGGACTAAACTGTGGTATTGTGGAAATGAGAGCATCTAGCACAAGAAAGGGATTGGTGCAGATCTGCACCAGGGCTGAATTTGGCTCCGGACCAGAACAAAGGTGTAAAGCTGGTTTCTTCGAAGTGATGGCCTGCTGCCAACATACAGGATTTGCCATGAGAGAGAACCAGTCCCATCGCAAGTCTGGTGCTGTTTTCTGAGCAATTAGGACTAAGCCAGATGCTGTTACAGAGACCACATTTTGTGCTTAAGGGTGACTGTAAGCAAGCATTAGGTGGAACAAGGGGATAGTAACCATCTGTGGGGCAGAGCATCAGAAGTGGGGAGCAGAAAGCAGGTCTCTCAGCTTTTCCTGGGATCCCATCCAAAGTCAGTCATTTCCAGAAACTGCCAACACTAAAATCATTGGCACATCATTAGAAACCAACCTCTTAATCTATTTAGCATTAAATGGCATATTTAGTTCACTAAACTCAACATTTTAACTCAGTGTTTGCCTTTTAATTTTGTTCCAAAAGGCACAAGGAACCACAGATTATTATCTCTTTTTTTGGTGAAACAGCAATTCTTGGTCTCAGTGCGTGTTTCTTTGCCAAACAGTGGCCCTGAAAGGTCTTCTGCATTAGAGGCATCCCTGCAATGTACAAAGTCAGTATCAGAAACCAATGACACCCTCACTGATCCACTGCTGCTTGAGGAGAGAGTAGCAGGCAGGGCTGAACATCTTACTCCACAATCTTTTGTAGATGTTGAGACCCTTCTCATCTGTACTTAAGTGAGAACAGCTTTATGCTAGCCTAGAAATAATAACATTAGTTAAGTTTCTAGGCTAGTCCCTTTTCAAGTGCAGTGGAGGTAATGGAGACACACAAATCTTTGATTATTAAGTACTAGAGCAGCTCTTTTTGTTCAAGAGGTCAGGTTATTTCCAACCCTTGCTACCACAACTTAATCCGTTTACACTGGGGAAGAAAAATAAAAACAAAAATAGCAGATGCTTAGATGTTGGAGGGTTGTATGAGGACCACACATCTCAGGCAAGTCAGCAACACAGTCTGAACCCTGTCTTCCCATGTCAAGGTCACACATTTCCTCTCTCCCCAGCTCTCAATGCTGTCCTCAGCCAGCACATGTATTATAGGGCACGAAGACCTGGCTATAAATGCTTATTGCTTTATTTGGCCATGCAGTGGACACACAAGGCCTCCAGTCACCATCTCTATTTAGCCTGTTAGCCAAAGAGCACTGGTCATAGAGATGTAAACAATAAAATGCCTGTATACACACATATATATACACATACATATAGTGGTAGCAGCACTAGGTAAATGCTAGCAGTAAATTCAGTGCTCTTCAGAGCAAAAAATTTTCCCGGGGAAGCTCTCAGTCCACATCAGGCAGTCCATCTCATTTTTCAGCAATTGCATAACTATGAAGAACAGTTCTATTATACATTTAAATCCAGCATTTGACTAGCATAAAGTTTTCCAGTGTACGTGCCATGCCGGGCTTAAATACGGATAAGAAACTATGCAGACAAGAAGTGCAATCCAAAAAACATTCAGCTTTATAAATATTTGAGTTCTCAGACTTTGAAAAGTGGCATAAATAAATAATCTCTCCAGGACCCCATGAAAAATACTTTAAAGAACACTTAATTACCTTCAGCCAGAAGCACAATCCAATCCTAATTTTATTTGTAAACCTATCAAACACTCTTGGCTCACCAAGCTCCTGGGACTTGCAAGATTTAGCTGTGCTGTCCCTGGAAGAAGGATATCTTGAGGAGGTCCTGTTCTGACCAGTCTGTCCTATATTTGAAACAGCAGCCTTTGTGAATAAGACTCAGGAACGCTCTAAATACAACTCAGCCAGCAGCTATGCAGAGCAGATGGCAGTTTCCCCTCCAGTGCTGTCATTATTTTATCAACTTCTGTTCTGATTTTAAAAGGATGTGGATGCATCCCAAAACCACAAACACAAACACTGCAAACAGGGAAGTAATGTTCTGGCAATCATTTAACTTTGGAGGCCTCTTTAAATGCCTGGATAATGAAGCAGGTTATCTTAACGCAATAACCAGTTTCCACAGAAGAGAGCAAAAAGGTCACAGGAGTCTCTTAGAAATCCTCCAGCAGGTGCTTTCTGGTGTTGCAAGCCACCAGTTTAGCATTAAACAAAACAAATTCAATTTCCATGACTGCAACTGCTAGCAAAAGGCGGGTGCTTCTAAGCACAAAGAGGAGCAGAGCTTCCTCTGCATGGTGGGCAAAGTGAGTCTGACCCACATGGTTGTTGGAAAGTGAAATTCTGATGTTCAGTTATTGCCAAACCCAGGAGTTTTTCAGCTGTAATGATAACTGAAAAGGAGGCATACTTTACTATTTAAAACAGATCTATTTATTGTGGCTTAAAACTTTGTCCAGTGCTTTCACAGTGGACAGAGAATACTCTTTCTTTGACAAAAAAAACCACTCAAATGTATTATAGGTTTATAGCAGGCATTCAAAAACCAGCATTACTAAAAAAACTACCATCACCTGTAACCTACCACTGGAGAAACTATGAAACCCTTAAGGAAGAGTTTTTTACCTTTACTTGTGCTTTGACTTCTTGGAGCATAGCAGCAACATCACATTTTGGTACTACTGCTGACAAAACGGATTGCAGCTTTTGCTGGTCCAGGCTTGAGACAAGCAGCTGATCCAAGCTAAAATTATTAGAAAAACATGAAAGACAGCTTTATCTTTCTATGCCATGTAGATATATGTCTCAGGTATACAACGTAGGTTGCATTAGGGCAAACAATGAAGGGCCAGCTCATTAACAAGCAGAAATCTTGAAAACAGGTAATAAATGGTGTATGCTGGCAGAATGGAAAGCGGCAGAGAAGACAATTTATTAGTAACTCTGAAAATCAGTCCCCATTCTCTTCCCCCATTTGTTTTAGCAACAGACGTTAGCAAAAACAAGAAGACAGCTACATCTGAGTAGTGTTCCTGGCAGGACAACAAGCCCGTTTGTCACCACGGGCTGTGCTGGCAGCCAGCTCTGCGCAACATCCCCTCCACAGCGGCTGCTGTGCCGTCATGTGGTGAAAAACTGACAAAAACCAGCTAAAGGTTCAGAGAAAAGGAGCCTGGCCCTGCCAGAATAACATGCTTCAGCGCGTGCTGAAGCATGGCTGTCGCCACACAGTCAAAGCATGAAGGACAGCACCCCGAATTGTGAGGGCAACGGGGGCCAAAGCTCAAACACACACTGGGGGTGACCTGGGGGCAATGGGGAACCTTCCTCTCAGGAGAGGCAAACCAAACCATAGCAGCAAAGCCAACACCAACCTGATGGACCAGCTGTCTTCCGAGCGCTCCCCCTCCGGAGAGCTGCCATGGGGCGCGTCGTCATCCGAGGCAGACCCTGGCGTCCCTGAGCTGCTGTCCCGAGGGCTGCTGCCGCACCCCCCTGGCCCGCCCGCCTCCGCAGCAACACCGAGGGCTCTGCGGGGTGTGATTTCCAGCTCCGTCTTGAAGCAGGCGGGCTGCGCTGGCCCCGAGAATCCCTCTCCACACAGCTTGTCCAGGTCGGGCATGCTGAGGGCCCGCAGCTCCCGCAGCCTGGAGCGGGAAAGCGGCGGCCTCCCCAGGCCCCGGCTGCGGCGCGCCTGCGAGGCCGCGGGGGGACAGGCAGCCCCAGTGCTGCCCCCCTCGCTCCTCTGGGGCTTTCCTTCCCCCTTGCTGGGCTCCGTGCTGCTGGGGGACCTGCTTGTGGCGCTGGCTGGGCTGGAGCTGCCGCCGTAGGAGCTCAAGCTGCGCCGCAGGGCCCGCGGCGCCTCGGCAGGGCCGGTTGCCCCTGTCCCACCACACGACCTCCTGACCAGGGGGGACCTGACGGATGAGTGAATATCAATGGCCTTCGTGATGGGCCGGTCAAAATGTGCCAGGTTTTCAAAGGATTTGATTCTCTGTTTGACAGAGAAGGATGAGGTAGGCTCATGTGGCCAGGTCAGCTCATAGTAGTAGTAATTCCTTCTGAAGCTCCTCAGCTTCTCAGTGGCAGAGCAGCTGGTGTTACTAGCTGAGGGGGAAGCACCACGGACCCTCTGGGCATTTTTGGAAGCGTCCTTCCCGCTCTGACCATTTGGTGGGTTGAGATGCACCATCTTTGACATCCCCGACACCATCTGGGGGCATTTCTCCTCTGCAGTGTGGCCTTGGGGTTCTTGCACAGGATGGACCTCTGCAACATGGCATTCCTCCCTCAGCTGACCCGATAACTGGGCTGGCATTGAGTAAGTCCTTGTCACAGGTTTTGACAAGCCACAGGGATTTCTGTCTCTGGTGGCATCTGCTTTCGAGAAACACTGCACGGTGTCCACCTCCTCCGTCAGATGAGGTACTTCTGTGTTTACCTCTTCCGTTTTCTCTAGCAATGGCAGTTGCAGAAACGATGCTGGTGAGGAAGAGGTGGAGGACGAGGAGGAAGAGGATGATGAGGAGGAAAGCTTCACCTCAATGAAAGTGCGTTGGATCTGCTGAACTGAGGGGGACCTCAACAAAGAAGAGCGACCAGTAGATAGCCCTCCATTTTGCAGATCTAATTGCCTAAGGTCATCTGCACTACAGATGCTCTTGATTGTGCTGTTTTGACTTGTTCCAGGGTTCTCAGTCCTCCCTTTCACATATTCAACTTTTTGTATCCCCTGAAGAGATGAGGTGATTTTGGACTGACTGTCTCTGGCTCTGAAATCATCCACCTTAACATCCTTACCCTGACATGTCACAGGCTGCATGGAAACTTGCTTTTCTTTCAGCTTCCCCCATGCCTGTTGTAGGTCTGTTAGCTCCCCATAGCTATACTTCATTTCACCACTCACTGTTGGGGTTCTAGTGCCATTCAGGAGAGGCAAAACTAAACCTTCAGAAATGATTGAAGGTTTATTTTCTAGCTCTGACTTCAGAGCCCTTGAGGCTGCGGAAATGCTCTTGCCAGGATCTGGGTTTGTAGGTGAATTACGGGACAAAGGTGTTTTCTTCCCTGGGAGTTTAGGGGACAGTTGTGGAGAAACAGAAATCCTTTTCTGATCAGCCCCACTGACTTTGGTAGGATTAATGCCACAAGAATCTGAGTTTGCCTTTGATTTGCTTTTGATGGTGAACCCTTTTAGCTTTGGTCCTGCTTTGGCCTTCTGGTTATTCAAAAGAGTGTCCATTATACTTTTTTGTGCCATTCCCTTAGACTCCTGACAGGATTTTTTCTGCGAGGATGGGCTGTGCAGAACTGCAGCTCCTTTGCAGTGATTTGTGCCTGAGCTTTGGACTTTTCCATTTGAAGTCCTTCCTGAAGTCACAGAGTTAATTTTCTCATTTTTCCCTGGCAAGTCATGAGTTGTATTTGCCTTTGGATCTTTAGATCTAGTGGGAAAGGGAGACCTGAGTGATACTGCTCTTGATGATGCATTCAAATGATTGCTGTCTGTTTTAGACAAGCTGGACAAAGTGTTGGTTTCTTTCTTCACTGAGCAATGATTAACAGCATGATTACAGTCCTCAACGACAGCTTCGCTTTCAGATTTGGACCTCTGCTCATCATTACATCCTTCTTTCTCAAGCAAGTTGTTCGCCAAGCCACTGGTACTTCTACCAGAGCAAAAGCTTACCTTTTTGCAGTGCAGCAACCCTTCCTCTTCAATGGATTCACAGCATTTCATATGTCCATTACTGTTCCACAAACCCATCTGTTTTTCTGTACTTAAGGCACCATTGTCACAGAAGGAGTAAACTTCAGGGATACTGACTGAATTCTTTAGGATGTCTTTTTCTGGCAGGAAAACTGAGGAAGAAGAACACGAGGTTGCAGAGGACACCTCAGAACATTGTGAGGGACATGGAGTGGGACCACTGTGATCATCCAAGCCTAGTTTGTTGATGCTTGTCTCCAGTGACCCACACATTGCACAGCCCTCGGTCAGCAAAACTTTGCCGCCGCAAGGGTGCAGCAGGGACAGAGAGGATGAGCTTGACGCAGATGTGAGATGCTGCTCCTGTGACGGCTGTTGTGGCTCATCGCTCATGCAGCAAATCTCAATTTGCTCCTCATCTGACTCCATTACAGAACAGACTGCAGGGGCATCAGCAGCAGCACACGGCCCCAGCAGCACCTCGTTAGCACTATCAAAGGTTTCTGTGACAGACTCTGCGTCCGAGTGAGAATCCTCTGCAGCCCCATACATAGACTTTGGAAGTGGGTCGCTTCTCTTACCTTCCAGAGAGTTTGCTGCAGGCAACTCATCCTCATTTAAACTGCTAAAATTCCTAGAATAGTTATTTAAAGAGTTTTTATTCACAGTAAAGAGCTTGCCTGTGTTAATGGAGTCCAACACAGACAGCCCCAAAACCCCTTGTGCATTAGCTCCACAATTCACAGTTTTTTCCAGCAGCTCCTCCTTGGCCGGCCGTGGCTCAGATCCAGGACACCCCTCGTCAGTCCCACAGCAGCACAGCGTGGTGTACTCATCTCGGAGGGGGTTTTCTGCTCGCGACGGGGTGCGCAAAGCCCTGCTCTCCGGAGCACCCATTTGGCTGAGCAAGTCATCGATATCGGTGACCGGGATGGCAGCCTGGCCCTCCTCGGCGCGGCTGCTCCTCACGGCACCTCTTTGCACGTCTTTGCTGGCGGCATCAGGTGGCAGTGTTGTCCTCTCTCCCGCACAGCCGCCACCGCCAGCCTTCTGCAAACCTGCTGCTCCTCCTTGCTTCCCAGCGCTCGGTTCTTCCTCAGTTGGGAGGATGCTAGTGACATCGGCCTGGTTTTGACTGTCTACCCCTGGAGACAGGATGAGGTTTGTAAATCTGCTGACAACTGCATAATGATAAAAATAAATAAATGGAAAAAAAAAAGTAAAATCCTGGCAAATATAAGAAGTGATATACAAAACACCAGGTTTCATTACAAAAATAAACACCCACATAAGTCAGACTACAGGTTTTCCTTTTGCTCTCCACTCCTCCTCTTCTGTAATGATGTTTACAACAACTCAAATTAATCACAACCCCCTGTATTCAAGTTGCACACAGGAGGGAGCAATCCACTTATGCAAGGGGAGCAGTCATGATCTGTTTAGTCCTCTTTGAAATTTCAGCAGTCAAGCAGCCAACTATGGAAGTGTCAGCGTAAGTCAGGCTGAGCAGCACTGCTTCTCATTACTTGTTTGATCAAAGATGTCTCCACAAGATTGCAGAGAGAGCACAAAGCCCTGGTATAGCAAGCAAAGGTGAACTGATAACAGTCATGAGCTGTGTGTAAGTAACTTGACTCTGATCCTTCTGGCACTTGTGCAGGTGTTTAATGTAACACACATGGATGACGTTATACACACGTGGGCTTTACAAGATTTTTGGCACAAATCTTTCCTTGCTTCCAATGCATTTTTAGCCCACTCTATGGCAAACACACCGAGCTCCCTGTCACTGCTGCAATCCAACACATTCCTGTTCACCCATTTCTCCATCTTTTCAATTTTCAGCATTTCACCCTAAGCACCTGCTTGCACATTTCCACACTGGTTCTGGGACATGCATTCCCATTCAAGCTGCCTTCCACAAGCCAGCTACTGCCACATGAGGCCTGCAAAGTGCACGGAGAAGGAGGAGTGTATTCACAGAGTCAGCATCCTTTCCTCATCATTCAAATGTGACACCTCTCTAATCCTTGTACGAACCTGCAGGATTATCCACACTACTTAACTTATGTACCCATGTTTAAAAGTGTACATTCCTCCTAGAGTCAACACAGGGGGAAAACTTCTTAGAACAGCAACTTGTAGCAGCCAGGTGAGGATGTGAAGTACTGCCCTGCTTCAGCATGCTGGATCACTCCCTGAACAGACTCTCTTCTCTTCTAGTGTGGCAATGCCAGAGGAAGGGTACAACGGAAGAGCTGCCTGATAAAGGAGCAACAATGTGCCCCTGCCCCAATGCTATTAATTGGAACAAGCCACAGCAATGTAAGGGACCAAGAACAGGACTCTGCCAAGCCAGGAATTCCTTAAAGAACAACTGGAACTGAAGCATCTGGAAGTGCTTTAGGCTCCTGGGTATTAATAGGTACACAAAGAAGATCATAAGCTAGAATGAAACAAAATATTATGTTCTTCCTGAATTTGAAAAGTATGCTTTTCTTATTCAAACACTCATTTCCATACCACATAATTTGTACAGTCTGTGGGGATGCATATATTGCTGTAGCAGCATAAATCAGCCTGGGGCAGAAACTAAGGTAGTATCAAGTATTTCCATTCAAAGTAGAAAACTTTTTGTAAGACACATGCAAATAAATATTGTGATGATATTGTAGTTTTCTTGGGGTTTCCGTTTAATCTTTCTGCACATCAGAGACTTCTGGCAGATGAAAAGGCAAGAACGAAAAGAGACTTTTTATTATCTTACTGTCCATTCATAAAAACATTACGTAAACTTCAGATTTAAGAGACAGATGTGATTATAAAGGGTCAATATATTCCCTGAGCAGGCACAGCAGTAAAATGGGTTGTCAGGACAGGACTGCTGCTGCGTTAGCTCCAGGTCTGCATGAAGTGACTCAGACCTCCGCAAATACTGGCAGGAGGAATACACTGTATGTGGGAGCTTTGAACATTGCACAAAAGAGCACATTAGCTCCCCTCACAGTGCTGCTAGGGAGGAAGGACCCTGAAGCCTGGTTTTGTGATGAAGTGCTTTGCCTGGCCCACCACTGCAGACAGAATGTATCCTGTTTTAACTCCAAATCTATGTGGGAAGCTGGGACAGCAGATCAGACCCAGCGGATCTAAGGGAATTTTCTTCACTGGTACTCAAAAAAAATGGTACAAAAGCAAAACTACTCTCTCACCTGATGCTGCTTTCTGGATCTCCAGGGTTACAGATGTGGGAAGACATTGCATAAGCAAGCAGATTTCCTCATACGTCATCTTACTGACTGGGATACTGTTGATGGTAGTAATCTCATCTCCTACAGCCATCTTGCCCATTGATCCCTGATGCAATGAGAGATTCAAGGAAATTACACACGCACACCAGAAGCTCTGCCACAGAGGCAAAGTGCAGGGAAGTAATTAGTAGCTTATAAGCAACATTCCCTCCTTCACATCCCTGCAGAGCACAGATACCACTGCTGTCAGTTTGCCAACACGTAAATAAAGGGCAGACTGCTTTTGCCACAAGAGAAATTAATCATCGATCTCAAACAGGAAGGTCAAAAGACCTCCTGGTTTCTCTGAGTGATTAGTATCAGGATGGAGGACATAGCCCTCCTCATTTAAATGAATTGGGATGAAGCAGTTCTACCTTCTTCAGGAGTGGAACACTGTCTATCATTTTTGCATTTTATATATGAATTCTATTGCTGGTCACAGCCTCCCACTGGACCAGTAGGACTCTCCTGAATAACTAATTTAGACAGGAACTGAGCTTTTGAGGTAAAAGCCTAAGTATCTTTCTAAACACTACACAGTAAGTCAGAGAAAAAGGCAGGAACAGAACCGAAAACCCCTGCTTTCACAGCAGAGATCAGACTACAACAACATAGCCCCTCTTATCCTAGAGGCCACTAACTAGATTAAAAATGCTGGACATCAGAGTATCCTCCTTCCTCTTTCTGCACTTCTGCATCTAGCAAGTGGAATTGCTATTCCACTTCCAGCATGAAGAAGGACCCACACTAGTAGGTGCATGTATGAGATGCAGAAGCGCAATGCGTCAGTGGTAATACCATGGTGCTTGGCAAACCAGGCCAGCATCTAAGGCCTCCTGGTACCAGTTCTGTATAACACAGGAACTGTGCTTATAAAACAATAGAGCATAAGAAATATTTTTACCACCAAGATTTACTTCTTTGCCTTTGCCCCGGTAAAAAGAAAGGAAACAGAAGAATAGTGTTCCCTCAAAACTGTGAGTGGGGATGAGTCCATGTTAGTAGATCTGCCTCTTGACTTCCTTAGTTTTGAATCACCCAGGGTGCACTTCTGAATCAGAAACACTTCATTTAACAGCAGCTTCAGAACAGTATGGGATGAGATGTTTTGCCCAGCAGAGACAAACATCTCCCTTGCACTTATTCTCCAAGGATCACTTGTATAAGACTAATAAGGCTAACACCAGTAATACTACTAATAATAATCCCTGTAGAGTGAAAGCAAATCACAACAAGGCAACCTAAATAAAAAATTACCATTTCTGCTGCTCCACCTGGCCGCAGCCCTGTGACAACAACCTTTAAGGGCATGGCCTGGATCTCCAAATCCAGGCCAAATGACTCGTGCTCATTGCGAACCAGAGTGACTATTTCACCCTGGCCCTGCCCAGCCCCATTGGGCACTTCACACTTCTTGCTGTGAGGGAGCGTCCTCGCAACAGGCTTGTTGTAAGAGCCATGTTCCTCCGTCTTGTGTCTCTGAAGGCTTCGGCACTCAGTGCTCATCATGCTTTTCACTCTTGTGACTGCTCTGTGCTCAAGTTTTGGTGATCTCTTAGATTCCAGTTGTGCTTCTCGGAGCTCCTTCAAACTCAGGCTGCCAAGACGAACTTCTGGCATACTTGAGTAATCAAATGCTATGATGGGGAAGAAAGGAGACTCAGCTTGCTCCAGCGTGCTGTCTGCAGACTCCATGGAGCTGCTGAAGACAGGGGAAGATGTCTCTGTGCCACTGTATCTAGGTGACTCGCTGCCCTGGCTCTCATCATCAATTTCTATGGATGAGGTTGTAATGACAATGCTAGCATTCTCCTGAATCTTTGCCCTCTGGCTTCTTTGCAAGTGGGAACTTTCGTCATCATCACTAACGTCACCATCATAGAAAACAACCCTTCTCTGTCGATGAAAGGGGCTGCGGGTAGATTTGGGGCTGTCACTGAGGATGCCAGGTCGGACAGACTCCATGTGCTTGTTGTGAAGGCTGGATGATCTCCCACTAGTTGGAGAAGCCAGACCATTTGCTTTTGCCACTCCTGCTTCTCTATCTGCTAGGAAAAAAGAAAAAATAAAAAAAAAAGTTATACTTTTATTGCAGTTAGATATGATCTTTAATACCTCAACTGCAGCAGAATAAATGTTGTTCTGTTTGCTTGGGAAGCCTTAACACCTTCTCATAAAGCAAAAAGCAGTTTGTTCATGTTCTCCCTCTATCTACAGTAAACAGCACAGGGACAGATAGCTCCACAGTTTACGGGTAATTTCTAAAATCAGTTCATGGCACATCTGTTTCTATTTTTAGTTTATTTCTAAATTATGACCATGACCCAAAGAAGAACTTCACGTGTCTTTTACTTTAAACACAGAATGTCTTTCACGTTTTGCTCAAATCTATGCTCATGACTGCATGCATCAACTTTCAGTTTCAAATTAAAGATTAATAAACCTGAAAACCTTTCCTTTATCCTTCTTAAAAAAGAACCTTGTTTTGTAGAAACTTCTTTTGCTTTGCTTTCTGGGGTTTTTAAAATACAAAAATTCTTTTAAGCAGTAAATAATGGATTTTCAGAGGAATACAAGCTGTAGACAAAGACATTACTTGAGAAGCAGAGGAAAGAGAGAACAAATGTAACATCCTCTTGATTTTGAAATCAGGTATATGTCAGTAAGAAAACGCGAAATTCTTTCAGTCAATTGCTACGGGGAGAAACACATATACAAAATATGTAATATAAGATTGAATATTTTATTGTTTTTACACTGCTATGTGTGACACTTTGAAATTGTGTACTTGAGATAGCTATGAATACTTTCATTTAAATCTAATCAATCAGATGATCATCAGTCCTTTGAAAAAAAAACCCTGCAGTGCTGTCCATCTAGTTTCAGCCACACCAATCAAATAAAGTCATTTTCACATAATCAGACCAACAAATTGGAGAAAATAGCACAGAAACAGGCCTTTATGTGCACTGTTGTAAATGCCTTCCATTTTACAGTATTTCATATGATCAGCATTGGTTTGCACTACATTGTTATGCATTTCTTACCAGCACATGAATCATCGTAGCCCCCCTGAAAAGCAAACCAGTAACCAGTGACTCTCCCCCTCATTAGCCACATGACCAAACACATTTCTGTTGCTTACTGAGGTTGCCAGGGAGAAGAGAGCCATCATCCAACAAACTGTTTCTGTTCTTCTGAAGGAGCTGCTCCTCATTGCAGGAGCTGGTTAGAGCATTAGAAAATGGGAGCTGGCTTGTGCTGTCGTGCGAGAAGTACTGGGAAAGCTCTGCCTCTGAGCTGACAGATCCCTGCTGAAAAGAAGTGAGCCTGGTGACCAGCTGTTACCAAAGTTTAAAGTCACCTGTCCCTATCCAAGTATCACAAACTCCACTCACATTTCCACGTCAATAAAAGAAGTTCGAAGCCAATTTTGAAAACAGAGGACTTGTCCGTATAGAAAGCCAAGCTGCCTAATTTGGGAAGGCTGAAATTATGCACTTCAACACATTTTTAGCCCATACAATAAATAAAAGAGGATTCCAAATCCCACTACTTTGGAGATGTGATTCAATGCAGAAACAAGGGAGGAAACCACTCACTTGTGGAATTCCCTTTACACATCTTCTGCACTGAGGGAAGGGATTGTACCTCTGGACACAGTTTGTACAGTTTCTTTGGTTTTTCCAGAAAAAAAAGAGACTTTTACACTGCAGTGGCTAGACAGAATGACCAAGCACACAGCACACCCATGGGACCTCCTATCTTTGTCCCTGTCCCACAGAGCAGGGAACCCCTGGAAGTGGCAGGAGGTGGGAGCCCACAGCTTTCTCTGCCATGCTCTGCACATTGCTCCCAAAGGCTACAGCTACACAGACAAAACAGGAGTTTGCTGCTGTCACAATTTAAATGCGACATCAAAAAAAGACCTTTTTACAGAGCCCTTGTGGCAGGGAAGAAGCCAGAAGGTTTGGCTTTGAGCTCCTTGATCAAGTAAAAGCTTCAGTAAAAGCTGAATTTGAAGCAGACATTGTATTTATTGCATCTAATTCTTTTACCCGGCTTGCTGGCTCCAGAAAGCGTTTCATAGTCCAGCTGAGGGCAGATGAGCTCTCTCCTTGTTTGGCCTTCACATTAGGAGATGGGCTTTTTTGTACAGTTCCTGTCAGATACAGGTTTGTTAGATGTCAAAATTAAAGTTGTAGTCCATATACTGAAACAAGCTCCTCATTAACCTTCTAAGCTGGAGGTGGCCTTTAAAGCCCACTTACTATCTGAATTGCTTTCCTGAAATGAGATTTATTTAACATTGCACAAGCTCTCCCTCTGATCAGATGAAACATTATCACAGAGACATGTTAATGCCAGCCAAGCCCAGGACAGAGCTTTGAACAACAGATGAGCAGGATGAAGTCTCTCTCACCCACTGGAGCAGGCTCCTGACTAGGTGCAACTTTAAATGATAGATCAGCAGCCACTGGCAAGGTCTACTTCCAAAGAAGGTCTTAGCTGACACAAAGAGGGTAGGTATAACTCCAACTTTGGTCTGAAAATTAACTTTCTAGTCACAATGCCAAGATGTCACTCTGTCTGTAAGATTTGAGGAAGTGCTAAGTCTGGAGTTAAAAAACATCAGACAAGTGCCAGAGTAGACATTTTGACATGACCCTGAAGATTAAAATGCAGTAAAAACATATCATCCAGAATGCAATATCTGGACATTTTCAAATTGATACAACAACACTTTTCTGGGGTCATTTGGTTTATTTGTGCCACCTACAAGGATAAACGCACAAAGGTGGAGTTGATTCCTTCTGTCCTTT